ACCATTACAATTCACAAGCAATTCTTGAGGATTACTTTGGGATATCCTGAGGTGGAGGGTGCTATGCGGATGCAAGTTTGAATAATTCTACCATTCTCAACTGGAAGCCTTTCTCTGCAGCTCCTTCAGCACTGCTGAGATAATTTGGGTTAATGTGAGTGACTCTGTTTTAAGCAGGATAGATAAATATTTTCTTAGAAGAAATAGCTTGAAGCAATGAATAGTTGAACAAGACACAAAAGTTTTGTGCGCACACGCGCGTGTGTTTGTGTGTGTGTGTGTGTGAGAATGACCGTTCCCATCTGGAAGGACAAGGGCAGCAGATATATGGGAACACCATCACCTCCAAGCTCCCCTCCAAGCCACTCAACATTCTGACTTGGAAATAAAACACTGTTCCTTCAATGTCGCTGGTTCAAAATTGTGGAATTCCCTCCCTAACAGTATTGTGGACCAACCCACAGCAGGCGAACTACAGCGGTTCAAGAGGCAACTCACCACCACCTTCTCAAGGGCAACTAGGGTCGGCCAAAAATGCTAGCCAACCAGTGATCCCATATCCCACAAATGAATACATTAGAAAAAAACCCTTCAGTGCTGGTTTGGAGGCTACGGATAGTTGTGAAGGTTAAGAATTATGCAGGCATTATTCTGAGTTGGAGAAGGGGTTAATTGTACTTCATTGTTTAAAGGAAAAGATGTGCATGGTTTGTGTAATGAACAGATTTAATGGAACAACTGACCTTTTTTGTTGTAACTCAATGAAAACACATCACTTGTAATGTATGGATTGGCAAGGCTGCTCAGAGAGATTCTGTGAGGAGTGATACAGTCAAGACATCTTTGGTATTTGAATTTTCAATAAATCTTTGTGTTAAGAGAGAAAGGACTCACCAGCATTTCTCAACCTGGTCTTAACATTCAATGTACCTCAGTCAGGAGTGACAAGATCAGTTCTTTGCAAAAGCATCAACAGAATTCCAGGAACACACAGTAGGGAACTCTTCAGGAAATCTCTGATAACGGGATGTTGCACTGAACTCCCACAGGGAGACCAGAGAGAGAGGGGGTAGGGGGTCTTGCTAATGGTTGGTCAATTGCTAATTGAGCTCTGAAAGATGTGGAAAAACGTGAACAAATAAAGAAATATTGAATCCTTTATTGAACCCAGCACAACTGCTGCGGAGATTACAGAAGAGAATGCTGCTGGGATCGATCTATACTTTTAGCAGCAAAATGGTAACACATGATTGGAAGGCTTCCACATACACAATCATAGCACAGTTTGATTTTTTTTTCATGTTTCTGTGTAACACCAAAATAATCAGGTTGCACTGAACTCCTGATTTTCCATTTAAATATATAAGCCTAGATGTCTAATACCAGGGGGCATGCAATTAAGGTGAGAGGGGGAAAGTTCAAAGGAGACACAAGGGGTATATTTTTTACAAACAGGGTGGTAGGAGTCTGGAACGCACCACCAGGGCTGGTGGTGGAGGCAGACAAGATAGGGGTGTTTAAGAGATGTTTAGATAAGCACATGATTTTGCAAGGAATGGAGGGATATGGACCAAGGCAGGCAGAAGGGATTAGTTTAATTTGAGGTCATGTTCAGCACTACATCGTGGGCCAAAGTGACCATCACTATGCTGTACAGTTCTATAAGCCTCCTGTCAAAGCCCACTCAAGGTAGAGAGATACTGACAGTTTGTATGAACTGACAGCTCTCACATACTGAAGCTGTTCTGAGACTCAACAGAAAGTTGATTCTACAAGATTGGTCATTATAGAGGGAAGTAGAATCGGAATTGCTCATCGTGTTCAGTTGGCTGGCAGAGAGGGTAGGTGTTCCAATAGCAGATGGTCAGATTTCTTAAATAAATTGGTTTATATATTTTCATTGGAAATATGGAAGCCTTATTATTTATACATGAGTTTGCAGTTAACTGTGCAAACAAAATATGTCTGACTGCAGTCTGAGGTATTTCATCGATGGAGAAGTGCCTGAAACCTTACCAAGCATGCTGCAATCTTTGTCGAGAGGCATCGTAGTAACTACCTTATAATTTGAAGAGGCTGGCTGGATCGTGTCATTCCTGACCAAACTGATCTGAAAAATTCCAAGTGGTACCTCTGACCTGTGAGATGTTATCACTTTTTGGAACTTTGCTGGGGCAGGTATCAATGAGATCCTAGAGCTGTCATTTGGAGGCTGATGATATAATGGGACTCAGTCAACAGAGACAGGAAAGCAGTCATGTACTCGAGACTGCTCAAAGGATAAAGCAACTGTGTAATTACAGCTGTAATTCAATTCCCTGACAGGGCCAGGAACAGCAAACTCCTCCTCGGTCATTCCTCGGGTTGAATCACACGGTTTGTTCTCAGTGGAAGCTTCTCAAAACAGAAATGAAAGTGGTGGTGGTGAAGGAGGGGGTGTGGAGTAGAGAATAATTTGATGCAATAAATCAATATTCTGTCTTTTTGTTAACTGGAGGCTGCTGGCGTGGTTCACTTAAAGGCACAGTTTCTTCATTACAAGACAAGATGTAGAGGATACCTTTTCTTTGTTGTGCTGAAGTCTTATTTTTATTAGAGGTAACAGTTTTTTGAAGAAACTACACAGACAAGCAGATACCATGGAAGCAGCAATTTGCTTCAAATGAATGGGCTTATCACTCAAATTGGAGTTGTAGTCTATTCAGATTTAAGATGCTGCTCGAGCACGGAATCAGAGAAGCCTTATGGTGCAGAGGAGGCCATAAGGACGTAAGAACTAGGAGCAGCAGTAGGCAGTTCAGACTCTCAACCCTCATTCAATACAACCATGGTTGATCACATCTCAGTCTCAGCCAGACTTTCCTGCCACTCCCCATAACCCATTGTGTCTGCACCAGTTCATTAAATGAACATTATTATGCAGAGCCAAGTTGCGCCTTCTTCCTCATTCCCTGTACATTATCACTGTCTTGAATGCCTCAACTGAACATGTCTCCACCACACTTCCACACAATGCGTTCTGTACCCTATCCATTCACTGGATGAAGATGTTTTACCCCACCAACCTGGCTATTTTCACAAATCACTTTAAATCTATGCCATCTTATTCTTCTTGCCTTTATGAGTAGGAACAGTTTCTCCAAATCTACTCTATCCACCTGCTCATGATTTTGAAAATCTCTATCAGATCTCCTCTCAGTACGCTTCTCTCTTGTCCCAACTTCTTCAGCCTTCCTATTAACTGAAGTTCCTCATTGCTAAAAGTATTCTTCTCAATCATGTCTGAACTGACTCCAATGTGTTCACATCCTTTGAATAAAGATGAGCCATGACTAATAGGTACTCTAATCTCTGTAGAACCTATTTTACGACAATGTTTCATAGACTAACTAATGAAGCTGTAGAAATGGCTGCTTTTAGGCAAATTGGAAGGCCCAATCCACTGGTAGTAGGGAAAATGTCATCATTATTCCGTCTTTCAAAAGATTGCCAGAATCTGGCACAACTGAGTCATGAACATGAAGGATATATTTCCCTCCCCACCCTTATCTGCCTTCCGGAGGGACCGCTCTCTTCGCGACTCTCTCGTCCGCTCCACACTGCCCACTAGCCCCACCACCCCCGGCATCTTTCCCTGCAACCGCAGGAGGTGCTACACCTGCCCCTACACCTCCCCACTTACCCCATCCCAAGCCCCAAAAAACCCTTCCACATCAAACAGGTGTTCACCTGCACATCCACTAATGTTGTCTATTGTGTCCGTTGTTCCCAATGTGGCCTCCTCTACATCACTGAGACCAAGTGGAGACTCAGAGACCGCTTTGTAGAGCACCTATGCTCGGTTCGTGACAAACAACTGCACCTCCCAGACACAAATCACTTCAACTCCCCCTTCCACTCTCTGGATGACATGTCCATCCTGGGCCTCCTCCAGTGTCACAATGATGCCACCCAAAACTGGAGGAACAACACCGCATATTCCACCTTGGGAGCCTACAACCCAATGGTCTCAATGTGGACTTTATTAGTTTCAAAATCTCCCCACCCCCGACCTCATCCCAAGACCAACATCCCCTCCATCCCCGCTTCCTTGACCTGTCCGTCTTCTCTCCCACCTATTGGTTCCTCCCACCTCACTGACCAATCCCCACCCCCACTTCCTACCTACACTCACCTTTACTAGCTTCGTCCCCGCCTCCTTGACCTGTCCACCTTCTCTCCCACCTACCCGCTCCACTATCTACCTGCTATCACCACGCCCTCATCTCTATTTATTTCAGAGCCCCCTTCCCCTCCCCCATTTATGAAGAAGTGTCCAGACCCAAAACGTCAGCTTTCCTGCTCCTCTGATGCTGCCTGGCCTGCTGTGTTCATCCAGCTCCACACTGTGTTATCTGAGTCATGAACTACTTTAGTTATAAAGGGACCTAATGTGATGCCTCCAGAAACAGTTGTGACCTCTGCAGTGCTATGTAGTGCTAATGGTGGGTCTTTCACCATAATCACCTCCTAAAGATAAACCTTCCTATCTCTAGACTTTTATCTGCAACTTTGATATTGTAATTGGATTGTGTTCAGTCTGTGATCTACGTAATGTGCTGATACCACAAAATGGAAATCACCAGATTTAAATTGAACAAGACTGTCAAGGGTTACTGATCTAAAAGAGACAGATTGAGCTAAAATAGATTCTGAAGAAGGGTCACTGGACTTGAGACATAGACACTGTTTTGTCTTCACAGGTGTTTCCAGAATTGCTGAGTTTCTCCAAAAATTTCTGTCTTTTCTTCTGAATTTCCAGCATCTGCAGTTCTTTGTTTTATACTAAAATAGAGATCAGACATGATGGAATTGAATGGCGGAGCAGTTTTGGGGATTGAGTAGCCTCCTCCTTGTTCTAGCTGAACTTGGAGGGATCATTGCAAGCACCAAACTTTGACCTCTGTATTTCTTTGATCCCACTTGTGTGAATTTCTGAGTGCTTTAGGCTCCAATGCGTGATGGCCTTTCCATACCTAAATGTTCTGCCTGGGCTTGCACATGATGAATGTTCACTGAGCTCTCAGAGTAGGTATCACTTGTGGAATCTGATGTCTACCAAAGAAAGATTTACGACCAGCAGCAAAAGTTATGGGGAGGAAAATGAAATCAAGTAAAGTCAGTTAGAATTTTGTTCAAATTGAGAAATTCTGTTGTAGACTTGTAATATTATAATGTGATGTTCTTGCACTTCTTTGACAGCAGGTAACTTTTGATTGAGTTGTTTTTGGAGAGAATTGCTGTTCAGCTCACAAATATATATTTGTCATCTTGTTCTTAGTCTGTTTCTGACTGCACAACATTGCTCAGGGTCCTATATGTCGTTTTTCTTTCAAGTCAACCTTTAAACTTTGTTAACTGTACCCCACTATTACTAATGGTCCTGTCATGCTGAATCTTGGCACTTCTCTGGTCACACAGTTGGAATGATTTTGTGATATGTCATGACAGGTCCTGTAGCCATTACTCGACAGAGTTCAATTTCCTTTCCCTCTTCCCTTGCTCTAACCCATACCCTCTCTCTATCGCATCCAACATAGCAACAAGCTCAGGGAGGAGATGGGTCGTGTTGATTAGTGGGATTGTGGTCAGGATGGTGGAGTGCACTAGCAGTGTGAACTAAGGAAGAATGGCACAGAATCACAATGTGAATTCATAGGGAAGTGGTGAGCAAGAATAGTGCCAGTATAAACTATGGAGGAGGATGCCAGTCTGAACAAGGGCATAGTTGGCAGAAATTTGACAATTGGAAGGAAGTGGCTAAGGCCAGGTAATATGAAGTTGTGCTGATGAAAGAGGATGGGAGGAGAATGCTGACATTTCTGTTGTTATGTAATTGGGAATCTAACAAGTACAGAAATCCAACTGTCTATTTCCAGTTGAATAAAAGCAAAATACTGCAGATGCTGGAAATCCAAGATTTAAACAGAAAGTGTCAGTGAAACTCAGCAGGTCTGGCAGCATCTGTGAAGAGAGAAAAACAGAGCTCGTGTTTCAAATCTAAACATGACTTTTCTTCTGAGTTCTGATATGGCATTACACACCGATGTAGGATGTGGAGCCAGGTCTTCTGGCTCAGAGATGGGCACTGTCACTGTGCCACGAGAATGTCTTTGTACAAACCTGTGTGGGGATATGCATATCAATTTCAAACCCATTGCCTTAACCACCATGACTACAGGCCTCAATGTCTTTTGTACACTTGACCTTAATCTCTGCCCTTTGTTGCATGGTCAAAGAAAGTACAACATCCAAGAACTTGAAGGCTGCTGTCATAACAGAAGAAGATAGTTAATAACACACAAATCTTTGTTCAAAGAAGGCAGATAACGTCAGTTGACAATTTTGTTGAGTTAAAAATAATTCTGACAGGAGATTCATGTGGTGTTTGTGTATCAACAGAGTTCTATTCAGCTGAACCATTGAACAATCTGTTTGGTTTTGAAATTGTAAAAAGGGAAACAGAAGCATATATACTAGAGTATTGTAAGCTGTCCTACATAACAGCCACCTGTGGCCTCTACAGAAATCTCATGCTACAAAAGTGAAACTAATGTCAACCATAAGGACGTTATAGCTCCACTGTGGACATTGACAGTGAGATGTCTTCTTCAATACATAAGTGGAGATGACACATTTTGACCCATGATGCATGGGTAATAGTGTAACAATGTCTGTCTTCCAAGGGAGCACTAACATTATGGTGAGGTCTTTAAAAGGTACGTTGGTTGCAAATTTTTCCTCTTTAAATGTTGTATCTCTTCCATCATTTGCAGTTCATATATTTCCAGAAACCTTATTTTGCTAACTACACAAGTCTTGATTTGTCAACTATTTGATCTGGATTTTTTTTTTAACATTTAACAAGTTCAGAAACGTTGATATGTGTCCATCAACTTCACTTTGATGGCAGTAGCTTTTTCTTTAGGTGGAGAAAATATAAGTGGAACAGAAGTTCCTGGAATTGTCTTGTGATACCCACAATCACTGTGAATTATTAACCATTTTGTCAGCTTCATTTTCCAATTTGGAGCTGTCAGATGCCTTTATAAGTAAGGTGTGAATACTTATATAAAGCTCTGCCTCTGTTGGGGTGAACTTCTGCCCATCAACCTGACATCTGTTTCCTGTGAATTTCATAGATTATAGAATCCCTATGGTGTGGAAACAGGCCTTTTGGCCCAACAAGTCCACACTGCTCCTCAGAGCATCCCACCCAGACCCATCCCTCATAACCCATCTAATCTACATCTCCCTGACCACTACAGGCAAGTTATCATGGCCGATCCACCTAGCCTGCACATCTTTGGACTGTGGGAGAAAACAAGAGTACCTGGAGGAAACACACACAGACACAGGAAGAATGTGCAAACTTCACACAGACAGTCGCCCGAGGGTGGAATTGTACCCGGGTCCCTGGTGCTGTGAGGCAGCAGTGCTAGCCACTGATCAATATGATCGATAAAAACGGAATCAGATTATTGTTGAGCTATTGGGTGAGACAGCAATATGACTAGTGTAAAAATGACCAGTGTAGAAATCACTGCAAGTATAAGTCACCCTGCAATATTTTGATTATTTATTGTGTGACTGGAAAGTGAAAAGATGATGCACGATGTTCTATGTGCCATCTAAATACATTGCATTCTTGTAGCAGTCAAAAAAACCGTACTGTGCTTCATTGATAAGCAAGACGGAATCATATTTAAATTGTGCATGCACTTGTAGCTTGTCTTGAACCCAAGTAATTTAGATGGGTCATACCCCTAACTTACTATGCCAGCTGAACCTTTCACAAAACAGTTAGGGAGTGCTGCATTATTAGAGGCTCCTTGTTTTCAGTGGAGACTCTAAATCAAGGATTCTGTTGGATCTGATAGGAAAATATTGGGTGGCACTATTCAAAGAAGAGAACAGTCTCCTATTGTCATCACCAATATTCTTCCCTTCCAACATAATGATCAGGATTATCCTTATTTTCTGTTGATTGGGCTTTACACCATTCTGAGAATGTAAAGAAGATGCCATGCATCAAGTTCCTTGCAGTGATTGTACTGCTTCGGAAAGGTCATACAAGAGGGGAAAACTGAAAACTAGAACAGTTGGTTGATGAGTCATCGCACATGAGATTCGTACTTCTGGTGGCAGATCACGAGCAGCTTTGGCAGAACTTTGAAGCAAAAAAGGAGGAAAGGAATAGAAATGGAAGTTGCAAAGACTATGAACTGTTCACTTATTCAAGATTTTCTGAGGCAAAGTAATCAGAATTTAACTCCAAATTGTGATCTGAAAAGAAATTCAAAGTGAAAAGAAAATGAACCCAGGATGGTTATGTGACTTAAAACGATAATCAAGTGAGATTTTCAGTATCATAGACACGTTGCATTTCACAAAAAATGTTTGTCAATGGCAATTGTGTGCTCAGGTCATGACCTTTTTGTTCCAACTATATTATTGTTACTGGTGTATCATTTCCAAAATGGAGTATATAGTAATTATTTTTTATTGAAGTTATGAATTGTCCTTGTGAACAGCACTAGTTGTTATATCACATATGCATCACATTATACAGGCATGGCTCATGCTTGCAAATGAACATGTTTTTGAAAGACTTTATGCTTCCTTTGAGCCATAACATAATTGTAACAAAAATGATTCATGACCATTCTGATTATTCAGCCTCCCTGGTGACCAAGAGAAGGATCCTTTGAGTGTTTTTCTGCAAATATTAGTTTTAGCATTGGTGAAAATGGTATGATTAAAATCTCCCTTCCCCTGTGCGACTGGACTTGTTGCTACTTTCAACAGCAAGCAGTTCAACTCCATGAAATATTTGAACTGAATCAGGAATATAATGTAACATAAAGAAGAAAAGTAGGAGGATTGAATTGAACTGATATCAATGTGACTTAGATTGGATTGAATCTCTATCGCAAACAAAGTCATGCATTGACACGATACTGTGTTTCAGAGATGTGATAAACAGACTGAAGAAGGCTGACAATATGACACTAAGGTAAATAACAACACTGCAAAATTGGTTTTCTTATTTTCTGAATGCCACTGCAAGGACTGAAGTGACTCCAAAGCAATATCCAGCAGGGAGCAGAAATTTTAAAATGCATCAAGGGGATCATGTGAGGAGTCGAGTCTGTACAGCACCAAGGACAGCAACCCGCTTTTCAAAATAGGAGAAGATACTGTCGGTAACTGTGGAGGAGCACAGTGCATGAGGGAGAATGTACGAAGAGTTGAAGACTATTTACCTCCTAAATGCTGTTCCCACACATAGTAAGATTGTGATCAATCTGTGAATTAACTTCATACACCCATCCTTACCCCATATCCATTAACAGACTCTGTTAACAAAAATCTATTAATCTGCGATTTAAGATTCGAGATTGATCTAGCAGCTGTTGCCGTTTTTTGTAGAGAACCTTGAACCTTTACCACCATTAATATTTGCAGTGGTTCCTTATATATAAATTCTGGTCTCCCTGCTATAGGCGAAATGTGTGAAATGTGAAAGGGTTCCGAAAAGGTTTACAAGGCTGTTGCTGGGGTTGGAGGGTTTGAGCTATAGGGAGAGGCTGAAGAGGCTGAAGCTATTTTCCCTAGAACTACATAGGCTGAGGGGAGACCTTATAGATATTTATAAAATCATGAGGGGCATGGATAGGGTGAATATTCAAGATCTTTTTCCGAGGGTAGGGGAGTGAAAAACTAGGAGGCATGGGTTTAAAGTGAGAAGAGAAAGATTTTAAAGGGAACTAAGGGGCAACTTCTTCATGCAGAGGGCGGTGCATGTATGAAATGAGCTGCCAGAGGAAGTGGTGGAGGCTGGTACAATTACAACATTTAAAAGGCATCTGGATGGATATATGAAAACGAAGGGTTTAGAGGGATATGGGCCAAATGCTGGCAAATGGGACTAGATTAAATTAAGTCTTTGGTTGGCATGGACAGGTTAGACCGGAGGGTCTGTTTCCATGCTGAACAACTCTATGATTCTGATACCAATGGACAGGACTCTGTCCTCTATTTTGGTCACCTTTCTAAAATGTTCAAATTTGTCAGGCATGATCTACAAGTTACAAATCCATGCTGGGTCAT